GTTTAGTCTTTTTCTCCCCCTGCTGGAGTCAAGAGGGGAACATTCTTGCCTCTTGACAGCGAGAACCTGTGGGTTCTTGGCAGTAAAACCCATGCCAGTGTGAGCCTCCCACCAGGACTGCAGCCCCTAAGTTTCTCAGTCTCATGCTCATCCCTAGCACTTCAAAATTATCACTGAATTGCCCCTACCAGTTTGTTGTTCCAGTGGCTTCTGCTCTAGATAAGAAGATCTCAACTGTCACTATCTGGATTCTCTTGTCTCTCCAGATTTCGGGGAGGTGGCTTGTCCTGCAACCTCAGTTCTCCAGTTGATCCAAGAAAGATCAGTGATTTTCAGTTTTTTAGCTTTTTTCTTGTTGGACGGAAGGGAGTAAGGGCTTCTAATGTTTTTACATGTTGGAGCTATCACCAGAAATCTTTCGTACAGTCGACCCTTGAACAACATAGGTTTTAACTGGGCAGGTCCACTTCTGTGTGGATTTTTTTGAATGAATACAGTATAGTAATGGAAATGGATTTTCTCTTTATGATTTTTTTAACATTTTCTTCTATTATTGTAAGAACACAGTATATAATGCATATACAAAATATGTATAAAATGACTATGTTATCAGTAAGGCTTTCAGTCAGGCTATTAGTAGTTAAGTTTTGGGGGAGTCAAAAGTTATATGCAGATTTTCAACTGTGTAGGGGGTTGGTGCCTCTAACCCCTTCAGCGTTCAAGGGCCAACTATCTATCTCCTCAATGTATTTCCTTTTTTTTTTAAGGTTTTTTATTTATATATTTGAGAGAGAGAGAGAGCATGAGAGGGGGGAGGGTCAGAGGGAGAAGAAGGCTCCTCGCTGAGCCAGAAGCCCGATGTGGGACTTGATCCCAGGATTCCAGGATCATGACCTGAGCTGAAGGCAGACACTTAACCAACTGAGCCACCCAGGCACCCTCCTTAACATATTTCCTGATTTTCCATACCAGGATGTAAAGTTATGGAAAAGCAGAGGCTGTGTCTCTTTTACGCACTGCTGTATCTTCAGTAGCTAGAATAAGTACCCTGCTCAGAGTAGGTGCTTAATAAATATGTTAAGTAAATTAATTAATCAGTTAATATTCACTGAGCACATCAGTGTACCAGGCACTGTGCTCAGTAAGGAGATACAACAATGAACAAGAAAACACCGTGTGTCTACAGTTGTTCCAGTGGTGGTAGGGGGCATGATGGGCAGACACTGAAAATGGAAAAAACCACAGACTGTGGATTAGAGGATAGGGAGGTGTTGAGGATAGAAGCCACGTACCATGGGGGGATGGGGTAACTGGGTGATGGGTATTGAGGGCACGTGATGTGATGAGCACTAAGTGTTATACTGAACTAATGAATCATTGAACACTACACCAAAAACTAATGATACCTTGGCTAACTGAATTTAAATTAAAAAAAGAAGAAGAAGCCACATGCCAGAACTGGCCTGGTAAGAGGAAGGTAAAACATTTCCAGAAGAGGAAAGCATCACCTGAGTTGAGTTGTAGAGAATGAGTAGGGGCAGCCGATGTGAGTGAGGGCCATCCTGGCTGGGGGAACAGCATGGGCCTGATACAGTCCGGGGCGGACAATGGGTGAAGTGATTTTCTCACCCCACCCTAATGGTCACATAACCCTTAGCACTCCACACAAGGCAGGGACTATTAACTCCCTTCACCCATCCGAAAGTCTGAGTGACTTGACAAAATGTCACCCATGCTGAGTGATGGAGCAAGTCTGTCTTGGTCCAGAGTTCATTTTCTTTCTGCGACAACAATGACTAAGGCACGACTCAGAGTCTGACTGAGGAGCCAAACACAGAAACAGATCTTTATGGTATCAGTGCTTCCTCAGAATGTGCTTTCTTGTTGTTTTTAAGACTTTGGCCCTAAAAGTAATAAGCTGAAAATCAGGGCCGCTCTGAGAGGGCCCACAAACCGCTGGGGGGAGTTTTGTCAAAGAAGGCGGGAAAGAAAAATAAATGTGGGCTTCTGCTCTTTAAACCTCAGCCCAGTGAGCCCGGCTTCCCGGAATACTTCGGGCCGCTTCAAAGGCCTATTGTGGAAAGTCTCCAGATGTGCGTGGAAAACCTCACTGGGGAGCTTCCCAGTGAAGAGGCCTTTCAAGCTTGAACTGAGATGAAGGAAGTTGACATGATGAGTCCTACCAGGTGGCCCGTTTTCTGAAGGAGCCCAGATTCCACCACAACCTTAGGAAGGCGGGCTGGGGGGCGGGGGGGCTAACCAGTTCAGAGTCTTTTGCCAAATGGCATCTTCTTTAATTGCAGAAAGCAGTGGAGTGGGTTTTTTTTGTGGGTTGTTTTTTTTTTTTGCCCTAGTGAAAGGTGGAGGGCATTCACCAAATGATTTATCTACCTGTAAATTGTTCTTGACATCTTGTGAGGGCTGGAAGGGGGTTCAGGAGTGGAGAACGTCGAGGCCCTGAGTGATCCGTGCCAGTTTCTACAGTAATGCCACTAAGTGTCCTGAGAGCCAGCATCCTCTGGATTTTTGCCCTGATGCTCTGCCCTGCATCTCTGTTAAAGCTGTCCACCCAGGTCCCTCCATGTGTGCTCACTTGGAGACCCCATCTTCCTCTCGCTAGGCACTTTAAAGTCAGGGAGACCCAGGTTGAAATTCTGGCTCTCTGGTTAGCTGTGTCATCTTGGACAAAACACCTTCAGCCCCACAGAGCCTCAGTTCCCGCTTCTGTAAGATGAGGATGATCCTAGCCCCTGCAGCATCCTCTGGCTGGCGAGAGGAAACGCACTGCTGAGTTGACGCACACAAAGCGCTCACACAGTGCCTGGCACAGGGTAAGGATTCAGTCTGTTTGCATCGCCTTCCTTTCTGATCCAGTCCTGCTTTCCGGGAAGGCATGGGCTGTCCTGTTTGGCTTTGAGTGTTCCTTCTGTAGCTCTTCAAATCCTCTCCCCACCGTGTCCATATGCGCTTAGCGAAGTATTTTGAGATCACAGTGTATTTGAGGGAAAGTCCTTTTGGCTACAGCTAAAATTAGGTCTCTCTTTTGCTCCTCTGTTTACCAGCCCCCCCTTCCTATTTTAACTAATTAGAAGCATTGACGCTAAAAAACACTTGCGAGAAGTTGGGAGAACAGCTGGGTTCTAGATACCGGCAGCTGCTCCCTCCCGGCAGGCACACAGGCGAGGGAGAGAAGGCTCCTGAGTCGGGGAGGCAGGACGGGTGCCGAGGAGAAGGTGACCAAATGCCAGAGTCTGCAGCTTGGCAGACGGAGCCGGAGCGGGGTCTTACCAGGGGGTCCTCCGCCTGCTGCTGAGGGGGGCAGGGACAGAGAGAGCGGTGGGGACAGGGTTAAGAGAGGGCAGGGCAGGAAAGCACTGAGAAGCTCAGCTGGTTGGTTAGTTATGTAACCGGGTACTTGACGCAAACCCATTACTCCCACCTGGACTCCTGCCCTATTCCCCCAGCTGGGCACCTCCGGGCTGCATCCCCACTGTGACTGGAGAGGGCCCGGGGGAAAAGGTCAGTCTTACCCCCTAAGGCCCCTGCAGTGGGTTTCCACCATCAAATTTAGGAAAAATTCCAGAACAGATGGTCTCTGAGTGGCTGGCTGCACCCTCTCCCTCCACCCCTACAGTTGCTACAGCTCAGCCTCGCTGTCTTTTCCTTCATTCCCTTCGTTCACCAGTTCCTTTCCTAGAGCCAGATTACCTGAGTTTTATCTAGGTTTCTCTACCCTCTCTCGCTACGTGATGGGCAGGCTCCTTCACTTCTCTGGGCCTTATTTTCCTTATCTGGAAAATGGGGACAATAATGGTAAATTGCCTGGCAGGGTTGTTGTGAGGGTTAAATGAATAAATAGTTATTAGATGTTTAGAGTAGTGACTGGCACATAGTAACTATTCAGTAAGTCTTACCTATTGTCTTTATCATCGTTATTGTTGTTGTTATTTCTTTTATTCCCTTGGCTGTAATGCTGCCCCTCCCCACACATACACAAATTTTTCATGACCTAGGTCTTCCTCTTCCTTCAGCTGTGACCTTAAATGCCACTTCCAGAGAGAAGGATCCCCTGACACCCCCCCGCCCCCGCCATCTAAGCTAATGTTCCTCACACAACATGGTATAGCCCCTTGTCCTCCTGCCTCATAGCACTTATTGTAATGCGTGATTACAGATATTTGGCAGAATATTTGTTTATGTCCCTCTCCCTTACAAGGCTCTGAGCTTCCCAAGGGTGGGGACCATGCTGATTTTGTTCACTAGAGACTGCCAGAGCCTAAAATAGTAATTGGCACATGGTAGATGTTCAATAAACACATATGAAAGGAGGGGAGGGAAGATGGAAAGGAGAGAGGGAGGGAGGAAGCGGGACAGGGGAAAAGGATAGGATGATCATTGGGCAAAAGGAAAAAATACTTCTAAAGTCCACTCTACCCAGGATCTAGTTGTCTCCCACTCCTTAAGATCTGAACGGCTGTAGAGAACTTTCTGGCCTCCAGCTCCCTCTATCCACACTTCTCTTCCTCCCCCCCAACCTCCCCCCTTGTCCCACTCCCTTGGTACCCTGCTCTCGGCTTCCCCATCTTAGAGGTAGTTGATATAATAAACATGCCTTGTAGTATACGGACTATTCCACTAATCCTTTCTTGCCAGACTTAACAAATGTGTAAGCATTCATCTCGAGTTACTGCCTTCATTAAACTGTCTTGTAGGTTGAAAACTCCAGGTAGTGAGTCAGAGAAATAGGCAAGCTTTCTGGTGGCACCGTTCACTGGGGACTTTCCTCTTTGGGACTCTTCCCTCAACCCCAGGGAACTTTTCAAATATATCATGGCAGACTTGGGAACTCAGGAAACTTTCCATGTGACCTCGTTTTTGCCAGTTCTCTGCCAGACTCCATGTTAAACTCTAAAGCATTCCATGATGCCAGAGCGCCTGGGCCCCCCTCTCCCGCCCCGCACCGCCCCCCCCCCCCCCCCGCCGCCACTGTGTCACCTTACCAAGCGATTCTTGAGCCTCCCTCCTGGATGTTGGCCTTGAGCATGAGGACTGACCTCATCGTGACCCACCTCGCAGAGGAGACCTGGGAACTCTTCTCTCACGGTGGACCACCCAGAAAGGTTGCCTGGAACATACATCATTTTATTTTTAGGGGCAAAATAACAAAAATATATTTTAAAGGGAAAAAAAAGAGGACATGATACAGCATGACATCTAGAATGTTTTACAAAGGATTACAGTCTTGTTTAACAAATGGGCTTGAAGAGGCCTGCTGAAGGGATGCTGACTCCACATAGTGCTTTAGCAAAATATATCTTCGTTTCAACGAACTTGTAAACGAACATGTTCCCATTTCAAAATAAAAACAACATCCCAGGTCACAGAGATGTTTGTAGAGTTACATTTATCTAGCAACTTAGAAACGTGCCAAAACCAAAATAGATTCTCTAAGGAACACGCTGGAATCTTTTGCATCCAGATCTTAAGGATTGTGCAGTCCTAAAGATAATCCTAAATCTGTGCCTTAGTATGAGTAGTTTTTGGCCCTAAACAAGTCTGGAAACAGCTCTCAAATATCAGTGCTAAGAGGGGAGTCTTTTCTTCCTGGGAATGCTGGTTCCATAAGGAATGTTGGGGTGCCCTGCAGCTCAAAGCTACACCAGGACCCATGCTCTTCATACCTGGCAGGGAACTTCCAGGGCTACTCTGGACAGAAGAGGCCAGCTCATTTTGACAGCTTCTGCAAATAACACCTGTTCCACCTTCCTCACTGAAGAGCAAGGCTCTTCTTCCCTCAAGGAAGACTTCATGGAGGAAGTGGCATTTTAGATTGACCATTCCTTCACCCATCTCTTCATTCAGCAAATACCTTTTTGAGTAAACACCACCAGCATGTTAAGCCAGGTACTTCAGCAATAACTGTAGACACAGCCCCTACCCTCATGGAGTTGATGGTCCAATGGCAGAGATACACAATAGAGAAATACAGGCACATATAACCAGTGTACTTGTTAGGGCTTAAAGGAGCAGCACGAAGTGCAACGAGACTGTTCAGATGGGATTAGAAATCTGCAAAATGTGACTTGTAATTTCTGCCTTCTAGAGTGGTTAAACCAGTGGCTTAGGAGGGGTGGGAGATACATCGAGTAGGAGAGGTTTGCCCTAGAGGGGAGATTTTACAACTCATATATTGTTAATGTACATGATAATAAAAAAAGAGATGGATCTTTTAACTAGTTTTATTATTATAGTCTAATTCTTTAGAGACAATGCACATGCCCCCCCCCCCCCCCCCAGTGCCCACCACCTTGCCCTTTGGTAGCCACTGAGTTTAAGCAAATGGATTCTACTGCCTGGGTTTGAATCCTGAACCTACTACCATTTATTTATTTATTTATTTATTTATTTATTTATTTATTTATGATTTTTATTTATTTATTTAACAGAGAGAGATACAGCAAGAGAGGGAACACAAGCAGGGGGAGTGGGAGAGGGAGAAGCAGGCTCCCCGCAGAGCAGGGAGCCCGATGTGGGACTCGATCCCAGGACCCTGGGACCATGACCCGAGCCGAAGGCAGACGCTTAACCGACTGAGCCACCCAGGTGCCCCCCTACTACCATTTATTAGCTGGGTGATCTTGGGCAAGTTACTTATCCTCTGTTCACCTCTCTTTTCCTCTCCTGTAAATTGGAGTCCATAATAATACTTACCTCTCAGGCTTGCTGCAAATACTGATGAGGTAAGACATGTATACTTGTGACATGGTGCCAAGCACATAGGGTGCCCAAGAACGTTAGCCAGTGTTACTAGTGAGTGCTTCGTGTGTGGTGATGATTCTTATTTCTGTCTCTACCTTTCCCACAAAGGTGAAGGTAAAACCTGGTCCCTGAGTAGGAACCTGATGGAGATGAGTGTGGGGAGGTGGAGGAAGTTTCCTTCCAGTTTCTGATTTAAAAGGAACCCCCCCCCCACCTTGCATTCCAGCCTTAAAAAGCTGCTGACTGCCTCCCTCAATGGTGAATTCCCTGCCCAAATCTTATACACATTCACTCCTAGCTGGAGTCCCCCCCGCCCCAGATAGAGGCTTACAGGATTCCAGGCAGCCATAGTTTTACTCCAAGATGTGTAAGGGCCCTACCTTTGCCGATGGTCTCAGGTCTTCTGTCTTGACAGGCATTTTTCCTGTCCTTCCATCTCCCCCTCACCACCCTAAGGAAACTGGGAGATGCCTCAGTGGAAAGGTCTGAGCCACAGGCCCTGTGTTGGCTGTCCAGAGGTTACATTTATAACTCCCAGATTGTCCAGAGCTTCTGCTACTTTAAAAAGAAAATTTAAAAAAAAAAGTGCCTTCACATCGCAGGTGTTAAGTGCCAGATCTTGTAGCACTTACAAGGACAAATCCATTTCTTAACTGAATAATAGAGCTTAAAACGCACATGACTGGCTGATGTAAGCTTTGGCCAGGTCTGGGAGGAATTTTGCAACATTATTTCTCTTGATGTTCTTTTCTTGTGGCAGTTGTTCTCTGAACAGTAGGCCAGGCTGAGGCTCTGCTTCTCCTTTACCCAGTGACCCAGAAGGAGCCCTGTCAGATCTAGAGAAGCAGACTCTAAGCAAACACCTCTTGGTATCTACCAGTTCTCTCTCTGCCTCTACCTATCCTACGGGGGGGGGGGGGGGGGGGGGGGGTTGTGGCAGATGCCTAAGCCCAGAAATCTAAGAGTTCCTGAGTATTTCTGACAACTCTTTCTCCCTAACACCCCCATCAGATCCATCACCCAAGCCTCCAGAACACCTCTCATCTGTGTGCATCTCCCTCACTTACCAGCGCCACCCTGATTCCCCCCTGGACCTCTGCACCTGGCTCGTGCCAGACTGAATGCAGCAGGGTGGCCAGGTGGTGGCGCCTCCGGCCTCCCAGTGCCCTAGGAAAGGAGACTGCAAGGTCCCCTGGTGTGCCCCAGCCTGCCTCTGGGTTCTCTCTCAGCCACACTTGCCCTCCTCGCTCTCTCTGCTCCAACCACACTGGCCTTCTCATTCCTCACGGGTGTTGTTTTCCTTCCTTGTATGTGGTTCTGTCCTCTGCTGGATGCATGCTAATGCCTGTACATCCTTTTAATATCAGCTAAGCCAGAACATACAGGCTACATGCATGCACACACATCCCACCATGTTATACATGCGTATATATCATACGTGACATGAGGCAGTGGAGGCCCAGGAATGCCGAGGCCCCTCCCCCTTGCCTCTCCATACCCTGAAACAGTCCCTGGAGCAAGAGAGAACCCTCATCTCTCAGATTCTGACTGCTCTCTGACACAAAAAGGACTGAGAGGTAGCTCACCCTTCCCACATTGCTCTTCCTCATGCTTCTGAGCAGAGAGGACCACAGGAGGAGGCTGTGGACAAGGTAATTTCTTGTTCTCTACTTGCCTCCGACCTGACAGATTATTTCTCAATTACCTCAGATTAATTTGGTGTTTTCAAATAAACTCACAAAGCTTTCCTGCCTGAACTATCAAACACAACCTCACCTGTCTGTCTAGCCACATCCAAAAACATACATTCAAATAATTTTTGTTCTTTTGGGTTTCACTCTCCTGGGCACAGAGACTAGTCACAAAGGACTAAGGGCAGAAGGAGAGGGAGTGGGACAGAGGGTGAGAGAAGGAGAGGAAGAGATAAAAAACCTCTCAGAGCAACTTGAGGACATTGACAAAAAGAGGTCCAGTCCCCCCCTGCCACCACCCCATACATATCCCTGGTCCCCTCGAGAATCTCTCTTCCACTGACCAGCCCTCTTGAGTAAGGCTTAGGCCACCTTCCTTCCTTAGCCATCATCTGGTCTGCAGTGAATCCAACCCAATCCCCTATTTTTCCCCAGCCGTCTTCAGCTCATGAGAAAGATGTGCAGCCTGGGAGTCAGAAGTCCCAGGTTCTGGGTCAAGGTTTGGCATCCACTGATTTTGCGATCTTCTGTGAGTGTTGTCCATTTCCTCCTCTGAGGCATTGTCAGCATCCTGGCATTTCAGCACTGAATCCACTGTGCACAGAGGTAACCAGCGTTTGTGAGCACTTGCTTTATGCAAAACACCATGCTAGGATTAGTGATCACTTACCCATTCGGCACCGCTGCAGGGCAGGGAGTAGTCCCGTTTTAGAGAGGGAAGATACCACTTAGGAAAATGAAGAAAACTACTCAGGGCCGCAGGCTGGGAAGAGAAGAAGTGGGTTTCCAATCCAGGTCTGTGTCTTTCCAGAGCTCGTGAGCCATCACACTAAGCTGAGGCCCAAGTATACCATAGAAAAAGAAATCAAGATGACTTCTTACAAAACAACAAATAGAGCTCATCCTCTTCCATTCCTGCATTATGCAGGAGATGGGATGCCTTTCTTGGCTTTTTTCCACCATGCACACCTCTGCTTGGGAGATGGGGAGAGGGAAAGCACACATTGGCACTTGAGGTAGAAATCTAGAAAAGCCGGGAACACAGGACCAGAGGAAGAGGAGGGAAGAGGCGAGGGAAAGCTGCAGCCTGTGGGGCCTGCTGGTGTGGGAATACACCTAGCCCAAGCCTTTTGATACGAAACGAGCAGACCAAGGGCCAGAGTCACAAAGCTTGCCCAAGTTCACACCATTCACAGATGGAGAGAAAGGTCTAGAACCCAGGTCTCCCGACTCCACAGAATCACCCAGATCTAATAAGCTTCCTCCTCTATTCAAAAAGAAGAATCTCCCGACCATTAATTTTGTACCTGTCTAAAAGCCACACTGAGCTATACTAAAGGTAACAGACGCTGCAAAAATATTCTCACGGCAACTCCCAGCTGAACACACAAAGAAGCGGGTCCCAGGGAACAGTGTAAGGATTGTCTGAAGGGATCTTTGCTGGTGAGATTACAAAAATCATAATATACGAATAAATGAACATATGGAAGAAATCAGCAAAGCCCTCTCCTTCTTCCCATATGTAAACTCGGCCTTCGCCTAAAGTCATTAAGCAAACACAGATGCGGCCAACCCAGGCACCAGATGGCAAACGAGAGTTGGAATAAGTGGGAAAGAAAGCTTTCAGTGTTTATTCGAAGAAGAGGAGAAAGCCACGATCCAAAATGCCGCAGTTTCCACAAAATGGTCACCTGGGGTCACCGAGGCCCAAAGGTGACCAAAACAAAACAAAACACACACACACAAAAAAAAAACCCTGGGGTGATCATGATTGGGAAGCTGTAGGACAACCACGGATAATTTCAGTGACTGGAATACAGTGGCGGAAAAATGTGATAATGCTGGGAAATGAAAGAGAGAAAGAAAGAAGAAGGAGCAGAGGAGGACAAACAGGTGGAAGGAATTGGCTTTGAAAGCGGAGCACTTACGAGAACTAGGAGCCTTGCATCCTTGGGCTCACTGAATCCTCCCAACTCCCTGTCAGGTATGAGCCAAATTTTATAAATGAGGAAGTTTCATAAATGGGCCAAGAGAGGTGAGGCCCTCGGAACAGAGCATGCCTGAGAACCTGACTCCACTTTCATTTCAGAGAAGACACCACTGGGGCGCCTGGGTGGCTCAGTCAGTTAAGCATCTTCCTTTGGCTCAGGTCATGATCCCGGGGTCCTGGGATCAAGTCCCACTTCTTCCTCTGCCCCAATTGCTCCCCCTGCCTGCGTGCGCATGCTCTCTCTCTCAAATAAATAAAAATCTTAAAAAAAAAAAAGGTAAAGACACCCTTTACTTTTCTCATCTTAGCCCACTTCACCTCTTAGTTTGTACATTTGGGATAAGCTTCTGTAATGAAAATACCGAAATTTTCATTTTGAAGGGCAGCCTTGCTTTTTAGTGTATATGAATTTATATGTTAGAGGGAGAGAATTCTTTTTTTTTTTTAAAGATTTTATTTATTTATTTGACACACAGAGAGAAAGCACAAGTAGGCAGAGAGGCAGGCAGAGAGAGAGGCAGAAGCAGGCTCTCCACTGGGCAGGGAGCCCGATGCAGGACTTGATCCCGGGACTCCAGGATCATGACCTGAGCCGAAGGCAGTCGCTTAACCAACTGAGCCACCCAGGCGCCCAAAGAGGGAGAGAATTCTAATAATGCTTCAGTTTCAACTAAAAGCTTAAATGAACGTGAAAATATGCCCCTGCCCCCCAGAAACAGTTTACTTAAATAAATTGTATACATAAATGAACTGTTTCTTTGCCTGTGGATGCAACAGTAGGGTGGAAAATGCTTTCAAGCTAGGCAGACATGTCTCCTGACTCCACCACTAAACCTGTTGTCTTGGGCAAGCCACGTTACTGCTTTGAGTCTCAGTTTCCTGGCCTGTCAAGCAGAGTTAACATGCATTTTGAAGGGCTGCTTTTCTTTTCCTCCTGCCCCTCTTCTCTCTTTCCACATGGCGGTGTTCACGTGGCCATTTTATTTGTTTAACCTTTTTCCCATTGTTTTTGTCTTACCAAACCCCAATCCAGGATGCAGCCAGCTTTCTGCCTGCCTTCTGCCTTCCTAAAGGCCACTGAGCACTGTGAGAAAGCACTCTCCAACCATAAGGCTGTGTCATTGTATATTGTCCTCTGCCAGCCTCCCTTACCCTGGTGTGTTGTTGGGTGTGGCCAATGGAAGGCACCAGCAGGAGCCTGGAGGAGAGATGGAAGCTATGGGTTCCCTCCTTGCCTCCCTCCTGAGCTCAGGTTAGCTGATCCATCCACCATGGACCACCATTCCTGCAGGTGGCCATCTCCCTCCGGCTTTCTTTCTGGGTGTTGGGAGCCTCTCCTTCTCCTTCTCCTTTGGGCCAGGAGGCAGTCATGGCTCTCCATTGTTGCTAGTCATGGGTTACTGGTTTCTTTTCCTAAACCTTCTTTTTTGTTTAACAAACCCATTATTAAGCTTTGCCTTATTACCCAGTATGAGCGCCCATCTGTTTCCTGATGGGAAACTAACATGTCAGCTCAATTGCCTGTTTTCTGTAATAACTCCATCAAACCTCCCCCAATTCCCGGCCGCGTCTTTCCTCTCCTGTTCAGACACAGGACCTACTTATTCCCAGCCACCATCCACCTTAAAGAGAAAATAGAAGCTATTAGAAAGACACCTGCCATCCAGTCGCATGTCCAGTGGTGTGCCTTTGGTGGTTCACACCTGGCATGAGAGCTGACTGTGCACATTTCCGCCCCGCTCTGTGCTCACTGACGTCACATCAGTAGCTTGAAGGTGACCACAGCGGAAGGATTTACACTAGAGAAATTGGCAGATGCTGCAAGGTAGGGCTTTTTTTTTTTTCTTTTTTTGTAGAGCCACTTGTTAACCTTTATCAGTACATCACTGCTT